AAACCAGTATAAGAACAGTTGATTCATAATTAGCGAGCCTCGAGTCCATTCTCGATTCTCATTTCATATATTTCAGTTTATAAGAGATTGATTGGAAAATTAAAGATTGCGAATAAAAAATAGGGAATAATTATAAACTATTACGGAAATAATAAAACTATGCAACTATCGTAAAAAAATCAATAGCAAAATACTTACAGACTGCATAATAGCCGCTTCAAATATGTCCATCCTGCGTGTCTCCAAAGCAAGGCCCAAGGCTTGACGATACTGATTATCATCCAGACAACGTTGGAACATTCGATTTACTATTCCCTCCAGTCTGGGATCAATACCCTTGCTGCCTGGTGGAAGTTTTCCTTCCGCTTCCAAGACACGTTGCTGAGTATAATAATCAATACACTTGGCTAAAAAATTTGACAATTAAAAGTTAATAGGTTAAGAGATTAAATGCCACTCATAATGATTTCAGCATATACCAATAGTAGTGTCGACATATTCATTTCGAGCATTGACATCAAATAGCTCTCCCGCTCCAAGGGCATAAGTCAACGAATCCTCGAAACTCCCCAAATGATAATATACTTTGCTGGCAACTAGAGCGGCTAACTCATGTTGTTGAAATAATTTATCTTCGTGCAGGATCTCACTGCAAATAAGGTATTTGTTTAGAGAATAGGAATCTAACAAGCAACAGAACAAACAATAAGATATAATAACAATTGTAATAATGTTAAATAGTCAAAATCAATAAATATCTTTTTTTGTTCCTTTCCTACATACATTTTCTCTATAGCTTCAGAAATTTCAGGCCAGAATTCATCAACTATCATGTCCAACTTTTTCAAGGCAAAGACCTTCAATTCAGGCATCGGTTCTTCCAATAAGGAGATTATGCCAGCTGAAACAATTTTAATTGCATTCAAATAGATGTTATCATACAATCATGATATATTACAATTAATATTACGTGCGCAAAAATAATAAATGATAAAAATATTAAATGATATAAAACAAAATCTTTGTATTGCTTAATAAGTTTCTGTGAAATTTGTTTCTTTATTTCTCTTTATCACGCAAAAATGATAAATGATAAAATAATAAATAATATAAAACAAAATTTTTATATTACTCGATAAACTAATGTGAAATTTGTTTCTTTATTTCTCTTTATCATGCCAAAAATGGTTGCTCCGAAATTGTCGGAGAGATTTCGAGGTTAAGTTTCGCACGACTTGCAAATCATCATGCGAAAGTTCCTGCAAAAGCGGTCAAATTTTCGCATAATCGATGAAAGACCGACACTATTTGAGCAATGAAAGATTATTCGGCGATTCACCTGCTGAAGTGATGTTCATCTTGCTGAATTTCATCAAGTGACAGCGAATCTTCTTCTTCTCTTCTTCTTCTATTAAATTAGCTCTTGCCGCTTTTCAGCGGACAATACGGCCAGATTTGCCACTGTTTGTTAAACAAAGTCTGAATCACTGTTAGCGTAGCGAAGTCTAAATGGAAATTACTTAGAAGTCTGAGTGGAAATCGATGCAGACCACTGCAGACCACTGAGCCGCAATCGACAGCGAAGCGAATCTTCCACAGAACGGAATCAAAATCAACACATCCACACACAGCGCACCACAGCGCACTGCGCACACGCCGCACAGGCGCACACCACACTAGGGAAAAGGTGAAACTTGCATAGGTGCATAACCATACAAAGAAACGGATTGGTCTATTTCCTTATGCCCGTATCAGACGATGGATTGGGATTGCGATTGGATTGAAATTTGACCAATCAGAGCAAAGTTTACTAAACTTGAGATCAGTTTTCTCTGTTCTGATTGATTGAATTTCAATTCTCTTATGCCCGGTCTACAATGGATGTCGGAAGTCAGAGTCGTAAGAAATTGACCAATCACAGTTCATTATTCTTCGACTGCAAGGAGAATAATAGATTGTGATTGGTCAATTTCTTACGACTCCGACTTCCGACATCCATTGTAGACCGGGCCTTATGCTTATGTTTATGCGCTATGCAAGTTTGTCTGGATTGACCTTTAAGTGGTAATCTACAACCTTGCTTTAAAGGGTATTTAAGCTCTAAGCCTTAAGAAACTGACCAATCACAGTAGAATGTGAGGGAAATACTCGACTGTGATTGGTCAATTTCTTACGGCTTAGAGCTTAAATACTCTTTAAAGCCAGGTTGTAGACCAGCACTAATGCTGGGTCTACAATAATGTGAGTCGTGGGTCGTGGCTCGTGGAAAATTGACCAATTACAGTCGAATTTGAGGAGAATAATCGTCTGCGATTGATCAATTTCTTGTGACTCGCATTGTAAACTCCGCATAAAGCATCATAAAAGCCTACAGCATTGAGCGCGTTTAGCAAACATAACTGTTGAGTCTCGTCTTATCAACACTCTGCGTTGATTGGTTGGTTCTAAAAGTAAGAGCCAATCACGTTCGACTGCTACTGAGCGGCTTGGTCTGTTGAACGCGATCATTGATACATGGCTTCCAATAGGTTAAAAATTTAAGGCCAATACAAAGCACAGACAACTGACGAGATACCCAGTATAAAGGTTTTCACATATAAAATCCCATAAAAACGTAAAACGTGAGCGTAAGAAAATCAACCAATTCCAATCGATTATTTTCCCCTACTGGGGTTATGGACAACACAATACTCGATTGAGATTGGTCGATTTTCTTACGCTTAAGTTTTACCTTCTTAAGCCGTGATCAGACTACGAATTGGGATTGAGATTGGATTGAAATTCGACCAATTAGAGCAAAGTTCACTAAACTTGAAGTTAGTTTTCTTTATTCTGATTGATTAAATTTCAATCCAATCTCAATCCCAATCCGTAGTCTGATCACGGCTTTACGGGATTGGGCGAAAGCACAAAGATTGTCATAACTGTTTACGACTCTGTCGTAAGTCGTAAGTCGTAAGTCGGTGTCGGGAGTCAACGCACAAAGGATTGACGTTAGCGTAGATCATATATCCGTCGCGTCGCATCACGCGACGGATACGACATAATACTAACGTCAATCCTTGTGCCCCTAATAGCACATGTATATTCTAAGAATGTTCAGACGATATCATAAAGTATTAAGATATTATAAGGATGTTCTCAGGCCGGTATTCATAGTCGGTTCTTATATTTAAGACCATCTTAAGTACAATTTTAAGATGTTATTAACAAATCACAGAGCCGTATTAGCATCTTAAGATATTATTACTTAAGACGGTCTTGAAATAAGATCTGATTATGAATACCGGCCTTATTAGTATATTATTAAAGTACATCCCCGAAAAAAAATATTCATATCTGATCATATCCAATTGGTCACGGTCAGATATGGAAATTGACCAGATCTGAGGATATTATGATCTGGTATTATATTGTATATGTTAAATATCTGATCAGGTATGATCAGGTACGAACTATATATTTATCAGATATCGGACATATATATTTAAGTAAAAGTTTCAGAAAATTGTTATATATATTTTCAAAAGTTATTTTTTAAGAGTGTGCTACTTTACTATAAAAGTAGAGTCCACAATACAACTAATACAAAAATTTGTGCAGCTCCATAGTGCGAGCCCGAGAAAAAATGATTAGATATAATGATACACATATGATTATATAAAATCGACATTAGATATAATTAGATATAAAAAATGACCCGATATAATTGTATATAATTATATATAACCACATATAATTATATAACCATATATGGTTATATATAATTGTATGTGGTTATATCTAATTATATTTAATGTTGATTTTATATATAATCATATGTGATTATATCTAACATAATAAATATTTTATTTATTTTATTTCCTGAACTGGCGCACATATTCGTGCAATAAGTTAGAGTAAAACAAAATATACTTGTCTCACTCTAACTTAGGGAAGACAGGGGTTTATTGGCATAAGAGGCAAGTTGGCAATGCGTTCCGTTTATGTATTTATAGTGAAAGAAACAATAGAACTTTTCCCAAAGTTTTATTTAAATTAATCGAATATTACAATAAAAGAAAAGAAAACTGATTCAAGAGGTGGCAATTAAATGTTCTTCAGCGTGAGAAGTAAATCAAAGTATCATTATTAGCACTGTTTAGTCATGATAATTAGTTGTTTAAGAAATAAAATGCCGAAATTGTGAAAATTGTGAAAACTGTGCCAACAAGCCCCAATCTCCTCTATTGCACTATATACTGATGTGTGTACGCCAATTCAGGAAATTCTTTAAAACAGAACAAACATATAAACGTCTTTCAATAGCCTTGTTTAGCAGAACGTTATTTATTTTGCAACTGTTGGAAGTTTTCTAAGCTCAAATTTGTCCGAACAAATAAATTAAGACTGCAGGTAAGTAGGACAAAATTAATTTAAGTAAAGAAGTGGATATATGCATGTGCATGGATAAAATGATTTATTTTGTGCAATATAAATTTTTAAATGTTTCAAAAAAAACTATTAAAGCTATTATTGGATAAAGCAAATTATAATTTTGAAAAGAAAAACAAATGTTTTTGTTAACTGTAGAAACGTAAAAAATACGTTTCTTAAATCATAGTTTCAAAAACATTTTTGGTCAAACGTTTCTTAATGTTCTTTACGGTTATGAAACTAATGTATTAGTATACGTTCAAAAAACGTATATAAAACTAATATATATGTGCTACCTGCAGGAATTTGGAGTCCCGAGAACTATGTTGAACGACTGACGAAGAAGAATAATGATGAAATAGCACACTTGGATGACGTGGCCGATATCATGGAGACTTCGGGCGAAAATCAAAGTCAAGGAAGCAGCAGTGGTCCGATTCCGACGAGGATTTGGATAATATGTGCTGCGTGTGCTCAGAAATGACAGAGAACAGAGCTGACGAAAAACAGTGCATTTCGTGCGAGCGTAGGGTACACAAGTGTGCGTGCGCTTTTTTGTAATTATTTTCCGCAGAAATTCCATTTTTCTATTAAAAAATAATTAATAAAATATGTATATAATATCCTATCATTTTTCATGATCGGAATTATGAATTTTTATTTAAAATCCAGTCCAAAAATGGAGTGACAACTCCGCCCCGGAGGTGTGACTTATTGTTGTTGTTAATTATGTGTGCCATATAGAGATTATGCCACATGGCTTATTGGAACTGCGGCGTTGTTCTTCGACCTGCAATCTCCGATTGTCCGCAGTCATTCCAGACAAATGAAGTTAATTTTATTTACGCAGTATGTTACAAATATTTAATTATAAATAAATTGCGCTGTTTTTGGAAAAATAAGCAGCATATTACTGCAATTTTTACAGCATTGGATAAGACCTCTTTCATTTGCTAATTCATGTCGTACGAGGACGAATCTTTGAATAACTATAGCAGCAATTTTTAATTTTCAAATTTCGTCACTATATGCAGACAAAATGCCGACATGTGTATATCTGAGTATGTATTTCTTTATGAATACGCTTTATATTTTCTATCTCTTCTTCTGGAAATATGCATATAGTTGATATCATATATTATATTATATCATAGATATTTTTTTATATCATAAATAAAACAAAGTTCTTTTTGTAATATACATATATAGTTTAATCACGTAATATTTTAAATGTTTAAAATTATAAGTCGCGTAAGTAATATGTGCAACGTCTGTACAAAACTGCGATATTACAATTTTGCAACTTCCATTTTTGAGATAAGTCTATTTTCATGACGGTATTTTCCTCTCACTTATATGCATATACTAACTTGTTATTTGGCACTGTGTCTTATAATTTTGAAATGGTTATTGCAATGCGGTTGCAATACCATCGCTGTGCAACGCGCGAGATGTTTGTTATTTCTTTTTAGGTAACTACTTTTAAAAGAGAGGAAAATGTAATGTGCAATATATATATATATATATATATATTTTTTAAAGAATACAAAATGTCTTATTATGGCTATGTATTGCAGATAACATAATTTTAATATTTATTTCAAAGCCATAGAATGTGTCAGAAAACGCCTAATGTTAAATGAAATGGGTCGGAGAGAATGCTGCAAGTTTGATGACATTGACAAATATCTATGAATGAATGAATGAATAATATATTTATGTTAACATTATTTTAAACAAAATAGATATATAACAAAATAAATATTTTACACACTACATATATATAATATACATATACCTAAACTTGTAATTGCCAATAAATTTCATTATTCTGTAATATGACTTAGTTCATAAGAGAGTCTAAATAGCTACAAAATGAGTAAATGTTTATGATGCTCACATTCTATATTTACATTATTATAGTCGTACTAAATAGAAGTTTTATTTCAACATATTTAAGAGTTTCTTACAAAATAAAAAGAAAATTTGCTATTGCCCTACTTGAAACCCGCAATTTTGCGGTGAGTGTAATAGCGAGTTTAATAAGCTGTAACTATCACTTGGGTTAGTAGAATGCCATTAGATGGATGCAGTCTTCAGGTAGGGCGCAGAAAATGAATCTGATAATGTAAAAACACCCGTATAAAAGCGACTGTCATGTTGCACGACTAGCATACGCGAAATGCTTATGCTACCATCAAAATGGGTAAGTTGTCTCAACATTATTTTCTCTTTATTCGCTTTTATTTCGGCACTACAGTGCATTTTGTTATAATTTTTAGGTAATATATATCTTGTTGGTGATCAATTGCGCTGGCGCACGCTGGCCGCGCGTCAGCCGTCAAGCAGGATATTCTTATCAGCGACCCAACGTGCCATTCTCGTTACCAACGGAAAGAGGTGGTCAACAAGGATATCCAAGTGCTCAGCCTAGTTATTCTTATCCTGCACCACCACCACCTCCTCCCCCTCCTCCTCCTCCGCCACCTCCTCCTCCCCCTCCTCCGCCACCACCTCCACCTCCTCCTCCTCCACCGCCACCACCTCCTCCTCCGCCACCACCACCTAGATACATACCACCTCCTTCACCACCACCACCACCACCACC